CTAGCGCCCAGGAACCTATCGCTTAACGATTTCACTATGTGACACTAGGCTGGGACCTATGGGGTGTAGAATGCCTATCACTAGTTTAAACTACCTAATCCATATGGTCCAGTTTTGTTTAGAGGTGTCTTGATTAAGGAGGTTAGTCCAGGTGCCTCTTCACTTTATCGCATAGATCTCAGATCGCACTCTTGCTACCTTTGAATGATCTTACACAAGACTTTGATCCTTTTCACCACCTGCGGCTGGTTATTTTTCAAACCAATTAGGCTCTGCACCAGATTGGGATATTCTAGGCTAGTGCTCTAACCACCGTTGAAAGGAGCGGATCGGGGTTTGATTAGAATGAAGAACAGCCCAGTCTGTACACTCAAACACAAGGTGAATCTTGATTAAGGAAGATGAGCACATGTCTCTTGGCTTACCATGTTGCTCAACTACCATTGGCATACTTCTGGCAATCATTGTGGCACCACTCAGATGATCGTCACGCCACAACACCTTTTCCTGAGATCACAATCCCAACGTCCCACCGGATCAGCGTGCGAATGACTTCCTATGGGAAACAGGGCTTAACTGGTTATGGCCCCAGATACCATTTTTAATTCGGATCAATCACCTTCACCTGGGGTTGAACTGGTATCTTGTGATCTGACCTATGGAGTGTTAACCACTATACTATAGACCCACAGGTCAGTATAAAAATTTTTTTGTCAGTAAGATTATTTGAATTTTTTAGAGTATTGAGTACTTTCTGGAAAGTGTTTGTGTTTAAGGAATTAATATTAGGATTTGTAGCTGGGGTAGTTTTTTTGCATATGATTCCTGAGGTTGTTGAGGTGGTGGTGGTTGCTGAGCGCTATTTCCAAATTTTGTTCAAGATTTTGAAGGAGTGATTTGAGATCTCTTCTTTTTTTCAAATAATATTAAAGGATTGTTGAACTTGCCAAGAGCTAGATTAAGTAAAGTTTTGCCTGTTATGTTGATTGTTTGAAGGAGATATGCCTCTCTTGAATTTAGTTTCTCTTTGAAGATATTGAGAGAAATAAGGGTCTCAAGTTTGTCTCTTTTTTTCCTTAGTGTGGAAAGACCGTGGTGATATGAAAATATGTGACCTAATATTTTTGGGTGTGCCTCACATCGAGGACACAGATTATCTTTGTAGAGAAGAGGGTATCTTTTGTAGAGTTTGACTCAAGTAGAAAGTTGATTTGCTACAATTTTGATTCTGAAAGTTGCTAGTGATCAGAATTTTAGTCTGTCTATTTCTGACAGTTTTTTATTAGATTTGATAATAATATCTATCTTGGAGAAGCTTCTAGGTTTGTTTATAGTAGATTTACTTAAGAGAATATTAAAAAGATTGGTATAGTAGTTTATAAATTTGATCCATTGTGTGATGCTGGTTGCAAGATTGAGATTGATTAGTAGGGATGTGTTATGAACAGTTAGGTATATGAAAGGTATGGGTGTCAGTATGCTTTGGGGAATAGTTGAGAGAAATTTCTTTTTGTCGAGAACCCAGATTAAAGTGATCTGTTTACTTTTGAGCTGTGTATTGATAATTTGAATAAGGCTGCTGTAAGGGTATTTTACTTGATGATTGATATACTTGAGTAGTTCGGTACTAAGTTTGTATATGAAGAAACAGGTGATTATGGATAACTAAGGAGCATTTGAGCAAAGTGATGTGAGAATTGACCAGAACAGAGGAAGAGATTTAAAGTTCAAATTGTAAGTAAAGAATTCCTAAGAATCATGTATGGTAATTGTAATATTGTTTAAGAAGTAGATTGTATAGTGGATTGGTGCTGGAGATAAAGGTTGATAGGATATAGTTATGGTTGAAGTGTAAGGGGGTTCAGGGCAAAACTATTAATAAGTTTTTCCAGGTTGTTAAGAATATAGTAAATACTATTTCTTTTTGTTAACCATATGAATTTAAGTTCATTGATATTGTGAGTTTTGAAGCATGGCTGTGCGTTACAATTGCACACCTGTAGATGTTTAGCATTGTTGGCTGTATAGTAAGGACCTGTAATAGTTTGGTATGTGATGGCATTACATTTAACCTTGATGAAATTTAGTGTATTAAGATTTGTTAAGTATGCCCAAAACTGTAGTCTGTAATTGGGTACTGGCAGTGTGTCTCTGATTATTGTGGAACTTGATTGTAGGATGTTCATAAACCATTGAGGAGCAGGGTTGATTGAAATGTAACCTTTGTGTGTGTGGAGTTCTTGCTGTGAGAGTTTGTTACCTGTTCCAAAGACGAATAGGTTTTGTACTGTTTTAAGATTAATATAGTAGAGTATAAGAGCCGCTTTTTTATTAACTTTGGTAAAGAAGCCAATTGACTATACATATGATATAAATTATTTTGCTGTTGACTCAATTCCCAAAATCCTTAAAAATAATTACGTCATGTAGGCTCTTTGAGCCATTGCTCTGCAATAATAATATTAAGCCTGATTTATTATCTATACTAGTGATTTTTGCATCCCATAAAACATATTAATATGAAAAAAAATCAAAGTAAAAAATGTTACTGACTCTTAGGATAACAAAATAAAGTCTATGCCCCTATTTCTAAAAGTCATTTTCAGAATCTAACCTGTAATTGACTCTTTTTAGAACTTATTCAATTAACCAGAATATAATATTCTTCATATTGTTTATTAATTATGAAATTGCACATCATAGGATCATTTTTATATCATTCAATCCATTTAGAATACCATTGATTAAATTGTTCCTGAGTCTGAGGATTTTTTATTTTACGTTTTGTTAAATCTAAAAATTTCTCATCAAAAGTATTATCATTTCCAAGCTTGAGTGACTAATGATTCAGGTCTATTCTTGTAATTTCTTCAGGCTTTTTATATAATTCTTGCTTTTCTGAAACCAATCTTTGGTTTGTTGCATTCATTATCCCAATGACCGATTATCAAATCACTAGGTACAAGATAATCAACATATCTTTGTTTAGTAAAATGAAATGTTTTTTTGGGCTGTACATCATTGATTTTTATGAGTTTCCAGCAACCAAAACAAATAGTCACATGATTTTTATGGATTCTTGGTCTATAATAATTGAAATTGACAAATTTACTTTTACCAAATGATGTGAATAAACATAGCCAGTGATATACACTAAATTTTCTGGCATTTAATAAATTCTGTAAAGATACTTTGACCTATATTGCCCATTGAACCAGTGTTTCATTCTACTTTATAATAGATAATATATCAAATAATTTCTCATTATCGAAAATTTGATTGAGTTTATTAGCATAAGTTCCACCATAATATTATATATATGATATAGTATACTTCATATCAAAACCAGGACAATTAATATATCATCAGAAAATTTTTGAGCAGAGGAACTCCGTATATCTCCGCATATCTCTGCCATTGTTAGAAACCTCTGGAGAATCAAAAATATATATATATTTTTTGAAAATCTCCAAAAAAATTTATTTCCTCTGGAGATTTTTGAAGGTTTTCACAAATGTTTGTAATATTTTAATAACTTTCGAAAACCTTCGATAATCTCCGGAGGAAATAAATTTTCAGAGATTTTCGAAATATATATATATTTTTTTGATTCTCTGGAGATCTTTAACGATGACAGAGATATGTAGAGTTCCTCTACTCAAAAAATTTCCTGATGATGGTTTAGGAAATGTTTTATCTTTTTTATCAATAATAGTAGCAATATCAAAACCAGACATATTTATCGATTAGGATATTTAGACCTTCCTATTTGATTTAGCCTTGCTAGTTTCACTAATAATTATATACTCTAGAATAGTATGATTCAATTTTGGTGCAGATGCTTGAAGAGCGCCCCATAGGGCCTGATGGTTCGATTTCATATATTTAATCGTATTTACTTTTGCATGTATATCTCAAGATTTGTTATGTTGTATTGATACCGACGCTATATATGATCAAGAATTTTCTTGGCAAAAACCGCTTTCTCTATAGAGAACGACGATCAGATTCAAATAAAATTTCGTTATGATTTGATTTTCCAGTAATAGGTAGGTAGGAATGTAGACCCAAAGGGTCATTGTTTTGCAATACGACACTCACTATTTGAGATCGCCGGTCCGAGATAGACAAATCCGAGATATGCAAATCCGAGACATACGTATTCAATTAATTATACTACTTTTACTTGAAAAAGTAAATAAATGTCCATAGATTTATACCATTAAAACATGGTTGAAACAATGTTAAAGTGTGGTTGGAAAACAATAAATTATACAATATATCTTAATATTGTAACAGGGAGAAATGGGACGCGACGTTAGTCACATGACCGATCGACGTGACAATGGTAAGTCGGCTGTGATAATTAGGTAATAAAGGAAGGACGGGAAGGATTGTGAAAAGAATTATGTAATTTAGCTTTAGCCATGTCGCTGTATCATTATGTCTAAGCCGCCATAGACAAATGTAAAGTATAAATAACATGTAAAGTATAGAGGAGTAGAAAGGAGTAGACAAAGAAGAAAGTGAGAAAATTAATAAAGACTCGGTCAAATGCAAACACGCCTAAAATCACCCTTTCATTTATTTACCCAGTAACGGTTACGCGAATCTCTGCTAGAGTTAGCGACTGACTCGCCGTTACACCGTTACAATATAATCACGGATATATGAATAAAGTATGGTTAAAATACTGCCGAAGTACTGTTAAAATACTTACGATACACTTATAAAAGCAACAAATCCTACCTTCTCACAGTCTATTTATGCCACGTAGGGCGCCTTTCGGCTTGTCAGAATAAATATTATAAAAATGGTTGAATGGACCGATTCTCAAATACGTATCCTTATCGATGAGCGTAGAAATACAGTAGAAATGAAGAATATCATAATTTTGGAAGGAATCGAATCGGATTTTGGGATAGCATCGCAACCAGAATTAATAGAGAACATAATACGAGCTTTAATGGACACCAATGTAAAGAAAAGTTTTTTTGCTTACATCTTAACTATTATGACTAATAATTTACGTCAATTAGTTGATGTGCGATTATATGGCAGGGAATCGAAGAGCACGAAGAAGTCGAACGGGTACGCAAGATTTTGATAAGTTTTGTACGCATTTTTGGAAGAGGCCTAAAGATGAATTTAATAGAATCCATACTATTAATACCACAAACCGTAGGCGAAATAGAGATTTGGGAAATATAACACCAGCACTATCTATCGAGGAGGTTGAACATGAATTAGGTCAAACATTGCCAGGGAATTGAAGAAGCCGAAGAAATTCGGTTGATAATCGAAGAAGTCGTAGACGATCAGCATCCCCATCCCGTAATACAATAAACACTAATACAAACAATCCTGATGCGATGAATCCTGAAACATCAACTCTTCAACCACCGCCTTATGAGGCCATAGATGAAGCGCAAAATATTAGCCTGAGGCTAGCTCACGCCAATTTTCCAGAAATGAATCAGAGCCATGTCGTTTCTAGCCACAAAGTAGCTAACTCCGGCAATAATTTAACCCCTAATTTGCTAAATATGTTCTTATCTCAAAATGAAAGTGATGTTAGTATGCACGATGTAGGTAGTCAACCACTCTTTCATACGGAATCGATAAATTCAGAGGAAAATACTTCTTATCACCACACACAAAATTAATATCAGAAAAAAAAAGAACGACCATTTAGGCCTATTGCTTTATTAATACAATATAAAATACATGTAAATCTGTTATTTTTTGGTAATTTTTTCTTGCACGCATCGCTTCTTAGATCCGGGCTCATCACAAGCAGAAATCCTATCTTTCAATCCATTATCTCTGAGATTTTGTGATCGACAAAAAAAATATCTAATTACTACAAATAACCAATTGAGACATGTATCTGAAAATTAGGTTTCACAAATAACATGTGCTGGAATTATTATTAGTATGCGCGGATTGAATAACGATATTCAGATTTTGTATAAGTCTCACCGGTATTTAAATCATAATAATAACCTTCATCATCATCGTCAGAAAATCCACAGAACCCATCATCATCTTTAGACGCATTAGCATCCTCGCTCCGTGAATCATCTTCGTTGTTATCGAAGGAATCTTCAAAATTGTATTCATAGTTGGAATCTTTAGATGCGATAGCATCCCTACTCCGCGAGTCATCAGGTGCACTTACCTGTATCTTGACTTCTGATGGATCAGAATCTCGATCAATCTCTTCACTTATCGAATTAGAGGAAGTGGTTATAATATTTACCTTGGTTTCTGATAAAACTTGATCGTTCCCCCGGGGAACGGTTTTCGATTTCACTTGATCTATAATATTCTGAATTTGTACATTAGTCAATTTTGAAATCTCATTCACACTATATGTAATTTTATCTATTCCGACACCATTTTCTCCGAATAACATAAGAAGTTTTCTAGCTCTAAGAGTTTTTTTACGCAAGTTATCTTGAGTGATATTAGGAAGAAACGGTTTCATTTCTTTATAAATCATCATTCTTGCTGTTTTGTCTTTGATCTTACCATCAGCTGTAATAACATGAACCCTGTTTTCAAATTCAAGGAAATAATAATACCAGTTTAAGATTTCCTGTTGTCGAGATTTGATTGCCGTTTTAAATAAATAAGATAGATGTTGAGTTGGACCTTTATTTTCTGTAGAGTTGGTATTACCTATAGCAGAATCAACAGTGGAATCAATAAGGCATTGCTTATCAGTAGATAAATATAATTCTTCTATCAAACCCTGCTCTACGATTTCATTTTTATCACACTCGACATCTTGCTCTAATTTAGATATTTCTGAACTAAGTCTTTGTATCACATGATAAATTTACATCTCGATCGTTCCCCAAGGGAACGGTTTTGATATTACATAAATTTCCATCATGATCGTTTTTTGAGAGAATGGTTTCTGTACTACAATATGATAGGTCTTGGATAGCTGAGGATGTTTTATAATGAGTCTTTGACTCTTCTTGAAGCTTTTTTTCTCAATTTCTTTCTTTTATTTCATTACTTACCTTTTCTTTATGCACCTCATCCAGGAATTTATCAATCACCTTATCTTCCAATGATTTACAAGTCTTCGACTTCTGACATATGCCAGAATTTGAAACGATATCGGATATATCAGATATGTTTTCTGACATTTGTTTGGATATATCATCTTGTGGTAAAGAGGTTGCAGAGGGTAATGCAGAGCATTGAATCTCTGATTCTTCAAGTTCCGTTAAAGATTCAGATTTCGCTGGGCTATGTTTATTTCATCAGGAATAATCATTTCTTCAGGCACGTTAGTGCCCTCACTCCGTGAGTCGATAGGTTGCGGAATATCTTTTGTAGAAGATGCTTTTGGTACATTAATAATGACCTGAGTCTGCTTCCGTTCCAATTTCGTGACTCTATCTTTAAGCTTAGTATTCTCGGCAGTGAGCTTGGCAGTATCTGTTTTATTTTTTTTCTCTAACTCTTCAAACCTGATTTTAAGCTTAATGCTCTCTTCTATAACCTGTCTTAACTTCACATTTTCAGCCTCGACCTCAGCATATTTCTTTCTAAGTTCGGGAATTTCAGCATTCTTCTTTCTAAGATTAGCAATCTCGACTAAGAGCTTCGAATTTAATTCTTTCAATGAATCGATTTTGGATTGTATAGCTGCCATTTTTATATATGACGTAGATATGTTCAAAAGTCCGTTTAATATAGAAAAATATACATGGATATATGATATGTAAGAAACTTTATACTAAGAGAATTCTTGATTACATCGATATTTATACAACATAATAAAATCCCGAAATACACATGCAAAAGCAAACGCGATTATGTATATGAAATCGAGCGTAATGTAGCCTGTAATGGGACGTGATCGCAGTGTGATCCATATATTTACATTGGGAAATCTGAGTGCATTATTTTTTGTAACACTAATTACATTTATACAGCAATGCTATAAACGAATTTAATCACATTAATATCCTCTTTGGAAATATATGATCGTACAAAATAAGCTCATCCAATTTTAAAAAAATCAATCCGTGGAATCATTCCCTCCCCTACCACGACCTCTCCCCCTTCCCCTATTCCTTTATCCTTCTTTTGATATTTTTGGTAAAAATTCTGCAAATGTTACAGCTTTTGACCGTTCTGGTGTAACTCCAGTTGGATATTTGGTTTTAGGTTTCGCGATACGTTGCTGTCCTTCCTTTGCAAACTTCTTAAACATCCTAACCTCCTTAAGAACATTATATCGTAAACATAAGAGTGTTCGAATAAGTCGAGGTACATGTTCTAAGTTACCAGTAGAAGTTGAGATAACGAGAGCTGGAATCGTAAATGGTGAGAACAAGTACAATCCAGGTCCAATAAATATCATTTGACCAATTTCAATATTATCACCTGAGAATAAGTAATCTATATTATATACTAAAACATAGAAATGTTTGCGAGCATTTGAAAACTTACCAAATCCTTGAGCCAAGAAAACCTTCAATGTACTACATACTTCCCACGTTGGCAGTCCCGTTCTTGTCATAAACTTATTGATGGCAAAACACCCTCATTCATCAACTTCTGCCTATCTTCATTAATTTTGTCTGGGTCCGGATTATTGGACCTTCAGATACCTCGAGCAAAAACAGTGGAATTTGCATGGGTCGCTCGAAAAACTTTAATACACCATCAGCTTTAAAACCATTTTCTTGAACATCTATTTTTGTAGAAATACTTCGCTCACATGAAAAATAATGTAATGAGTCGATAAAACAAAATGTAACAAAAAACAGATATGCTAATACGTGAGCTGTCCATGTACGTTCAGGGGTATTTTTCATAGCACCATTCATCTTTATGATAGTATCAAGGTGACTAGATACGCTCTTAACAATAAACATATCAGACATTTTAGATTGATCATAATATTGTGCTGACATGGGAAAAGTATTGGATAGGTAGTGATATTTTTCGGGTAAGCCATCTAATTGGTGCACGATTTCCTTCATTTTAGCAATTGATTTGTTAAACTTTTCGTTATCTCCTTCCATATTTTTTGTCTCTTCATTGTTTTCATCTACAAGATCACTGCCAGCTACTTCGTCCACAACTTCGTCATCACAAATGTCTTCCAAATTCTCTTCCTCCATAATCTGATCAAACAGCTCTATATATTTACGTGCCTTTTCATTTATGTGCATATCTTCATCATCCAACATTAACCTTTTAAACAACGCTTTCAACTCATCCTCATCTAAAAGGTCATGAACCTGATATAATGTATCTTTATCCCCTAAATCGATAACATGATAGTTCGTAGCATCTTGATTGTTCCAGATAGATTTAAGTTTACTATAATATGACGGAAATTCAACTTTGCCGAAAGTGTTGGAGGCATCAATCACTGAATTCGCTAAATCTTCATCTGTAACATCTTTTTCAGCCTCTTGCTGTGTGTTGCGCGCACGTTTTTTCGGCAGAAAAGGTGTGGTAGATCGTTGAGCTTTCTCTTTCAGATCCGACGCAACATTTTCATCAAAAGCTTCCAACATTATCTTTGAATCTCTTATTGTGAATCGGCTCTCATTCGGGGACATTCTATTGGAGGTTCTGATCTATGCATTCAAAGAGTCAGCAGATGTTTTTGCCAATTAAATTTTAAGTTATATACTGACCTCATTTGGTGAGGTTGAGAATCCTTCCTCATTTTGTTCACATCTCGAGAACTCAGAATGTAATCGCTTGCTTGCATTCTTGAGCTACGAGGAAAAGAGATATAGATATGTAAGTAAAACAAAATAAAATGTGTAATTTATGTTAACATCATGACATCAGCAAACCTCAGCTTCTTCTACTGTCTCCTCGGCCATGTTCTCCATCATATCTTGTGTCTTACTTCTTATATTGACATGACATCGTAGCTATATGTATATCAGTTAGAAAAAGCTAGGGAGTTATTCAACGAAAAGTATATTTACTGTTCGCAAAGTTCCTTCCTGCTCTAGACACGTATGTTCGATTTCGTTCCAGAAAATGTTGACTTCCTCATTATGCTGTCGATGATTCTAACCAAAAAGAGACGAAATACATTAATATAAAAATTTGTAATGCCTAAGATGCTGTATGGTACTAATGAAAGAATATTTAGTTCAGACCACAACATTCACGTAGAATATTAGAGGAACGGCGCGTAGAACGTCCTCATAGTTGTGAGAGCCATAAGTGGCTTCTGAGGTTCCCACACACCACAACATTCACGTAGAATATTAGAGGAACGGCGCGTAGAACGTCCTCATAGTCGTGGAAGTCGCAAGCAACTTGGCAAAAACCTCATACTGCTTCATAACAAAGAGGAATAAATCAAACCTTAAATGCTTCTGCCAACTGTTTGGCCCTTGGTATTTTTTCTTGGTGGGATTCAAGATATTTCTTGAGTAAAAACGACTCCTTCCTGAAAGAAAAGGTGAAGTTGCTTTCATTACGACGGTGTTTGTAGTAACCGAAGGCGTATCAAAATAGGTTGTTGTCATGGGAGGAAAATTAATATTAAAAAAAAAAGCGCGTAAGGGGTATATATGACGATCACCCGATTTGCTGCAAAAATGCACCAATCACGATTAAATCACGACCGCATATCCCTGTAATAA